ATTTCATATAAATATGTGTGTTACTTAGACCGGTTTAGAATATATATTGGTCCAATTTTGTCCGTCTTTGGTACGAATTGACTTGATTCGGATCGAACTAAATTGCGGTTTTATCGACAAAAGTTAACAAAATTAATGTAACCGGGTTACCCGCTCTCGGAACCGGAACCGCCGGTTCCGGGACTGGTTCCAAACATTTAAGAACTGCCTAGAGCGGTTCCGGTTCCGGTTCTAACTTTCTAGGAACTGCCGGTTCCGGTTCCGGTTCCGGTTCTCGCCAAATGAGGCGGGTACCCGCCTATGCTCATCCCTACATTTTGTGATATGTTAAAGGTATGGTTTCTTTGGTCTCTACTTTCGCCATAACAAACAAATACCATTTTTGGGTTACTCTGATGCTGATTGGGCACGTTGTCTTGAAACTCGTCGCTATACTTATGGCTATTCGATTTTTCTTGGTGGAAATCTCATCTCTTGGAGTGCCAAGAAACAACCTACTGTTTCCCGATCAAGTTCTGAGTCAGAGTACCGGGCTATGGCAAACACGGCAGCTGAAATAGTTCAGATCACTCACCTCTTGCGTGAACTTCATGCTCTTCCTCCAGATCGGCCTACATTGTTATGTGATAATAAAAATGCCCTGTTCATGACTCAAAATCCTGTTTCTCACAAACGCGCCAAAAGGGAACTTGTGGCTTTTAGTAAACTTTACACCAAGTTCATTTCTACCAAGCTTCAGGTGGCAGATATCTTCACCAAAAGTCTTCCACGTCCGCAAGTTGTTGGACAGATGTTCCAAATATTTTTAATTTTATAAATATTACATGTTCTTTGTGAAAATGTTATTCACAAAAATTAGGATAATTTAGTTAAGGTGTATATATGAGGTTGATGACCGGTCCAAGGAATGTTCTTGAACAATTTTATCTCCCCTTTAATTTCGTTCACTAATTCTCTCTGCCCCCGTCTTTTTTAGTATATATCATGAATTTGAAAGTTTTTTTTATGAACAGAAATAAGCGGGTTCTCTTCTTCACCAGTGATATCCATCGCTAACATAAACTAAAGCACTGTAAGTTTATAATTCTCCATACCCTGTTTCAATTCTTGCTCGAATGACATCAAACAGAGACTCAACTGTTGGATGATCACAACTTAATTCTTTATGATTACACATAATCTCCGTATTACAGTGTTGAGCTCCATTGTTTTCGTTCATAAACGTATAGCAGCACTGTGTTTAACTATAATTTGACAAAACAATTTCTGATATCTATCATGATCAAATTTTGATGTGTCTTCAATCCTGTTTCTAACAGAAAAAATGGAAGAAGAAAGAACAACTGGCGTCGTTAGCAGGTTCGTAGGAGGATTACACATCATGAGACGATTCTTGTTTCGAGTGATATCATCTGGTCCAATCCCAGAACACATCGCGTTCATCATGGATGGAAAC